AACTGGCATTGAACTCAATTGTTTTAAGTAATGTAGTTTTGAGTTAAATGAACACAAAAAGTAAGTTGTCATAGTAAAAGCAAAAGAATTAAGTGAAATTAATGTAAATTAGTCCATAAGATGAACTGCAGCCCAAATACACATTTTAGAGTGTAGTTGATAGTGTTTTGTATCATGCACTAGTGTCCACTTCAGTGCTTTTATAACACAAAAATCCACAAAAACACAAGAAAATGACTTTTAGTTAGCTGTCCACTGCAGTGACCACTATGCATGAAAGGGATATTATGGCTATTTCTATAACTAAAAATAAATATAAAATAGAAATAGAAATGTTATAGAAATATTATCAGCAGTATTATTAGGATAGCGAGCAATATAAAACAATAGCCAAAGCTTCAAGCATCTCTCAGAACTCTGTTCCATCCATCATCTGCAAAGAGAAAGAAAATGGCACAACTATAAACTACCAAGTCATGGTCATCCTGCTAACTGACAGGAGAGCACTAATCAGGGAAGCAGCCAAGATGCTCATGATTCATTTGGAGGAGCAGCTAAGGAGGGACAGTTTGTGGACCAGACAGCTGTTAGTTTTTTAACCTAGAGATCTGGCTTTATGGTAGAGTGTGAGATTGTTGAAAAAAGTTGAATTCCTCCACAAGGCATGTTTTGTACATGGAAAACGTGTTAGAAGTAAAAAACTCACACCTTGACCATGAGAAGTGGCGAGGGCAGTATCATGCTGTGGGGATTTTTCAGCAAGTAAAAAGGAATCTAGTCAAAGTTGATGGCAGAATGGATGGAGATAAACAGGTTAGTTACCCTGCAGGTAACTGACCTGCCTCTGACAGGCAACTCCTCTGTATATCCCAAACTTTGGGAGATTTACTTTACAGAAGGAAAATTATCCTAAAGATATAGCACTAATTCTCACTACACTAATTCTCTGCATCCAGGGTTTTAATTTTGTATTATGCAGCAATTTCAATAAAATGTGAAACTGTCAAATCATAAGGACCAAACGAATGTGATTTATTACAGCAGTAACTATCCCCACAACATTAAAGACACCTTCATTGAACATTTACTTCAACATGTCCATTTCACACCTAAACACACTGCAGCTCACACTTTATTTATACCAGCAGCCACCGAATGGAAGGGACTAAAAGTTCTGCCACGCATTAATTATCTGAGTTAGGAAGAAAATACATATTCATTTTATATAAGATGACAATTTGATTCAAGTGATCTTTTCTGTAAAAAAAAACAAAGCAAAATAAAAAACATGTGACAAGTATTATTTTATTAATGCATTCTGGTCCCACTGAGGATCCACAGCTTCACTGTACATGTGGGATGTGGCCCAGTTTTCACAGCAGCATCTTTAGAGACGTGTGTGTGTGTGTGCACGCGCGTGCATGTGTTTGTGTGTGTGACATCAATATGTCAAGGGGGTGCCTTTATCACTTAATTATTCCAGTGCGACCAGTATTTGCTTTGGTCTCTGGTGGTGAATCAGGTCTTTCCTTCACATGGATCCAGCCAGGGTTTCAGGACACATCATAAATCATTTTATCATTGTGTACTAAAATACACAAAAATAACTGAAGAAAATGTGTGTTTTGGACTCTGGAAAACTCCTGACTCTGATCAGTACAAAGTGATACGGAGGTGAGGTGCTGCTCAACCTGCTGCTGAGTGCTACATGTCACTGGTGCTGGTTGGTGTGAGATAGCACATGCTAATTGGCAATCAAACTGCTACAGACTAAATAATGTTCCCTTATCTCACGCTTTTATCTTTATCCTACAATGGATGACAGATCTAATTAAAACAGATTTTTCCTGCCATCTGTTCTCAGAACAATAATATGATTCAATCACACTCCACCCACCCTGTGTCATTGTCATGTTGTTCCTCCATTCTGTGCCTGTCACCTTGTTAAGAACACCTTCCATAAACACCAAATGCTGCTAGTTAGCCTTTTTGTTATTGCATTTACTTGTAATTAGCACTAGCTCTGAGTGTCTTGAAGATTCACATTTTGGTATGGACCAAACTCCAAGAAGTCTTCTATCTGTCCCTGTAATGCTGTAAAATCTAATTAGTTCGCCTCACTTAAAAATTATACAAACTCATTGGCTCAAACAAATTAAGCAAATGTTTTTTTTTAAACCATGAAGAAAGCAGTTCAAGAAAACTCTGTTAATGGATTTAGAAAATATGACCTATGAAATGGTGCACTAACTTCCTTAAACTCTGAAAGGTTGCACATCAAGATGGTAGAAACAATGAGCTTGTAATTCCAACATTTGACTTTGATTTAATGTTGAAGGTTCTGTGTTTTAGCAAATAAAAACAATAACTCTGGAGATTTAAATATATCGCTTAGATTTTAATAGTTTGTTGGTCTCCATATTCTACCTCCAACTCCTAAAAAAGCATTTTCTCCACACTGAGTTGGTGCTAAGAAAGAAACAGTTTATCAGAGACCAGAACAAGAGTTTGTGGTAGTAGGAACAGAAAGAACTGGTTCTAAGCAAGCACGAGAACAAGTGTAGCAGTGTGTTTATCAGACCTACCTCTTCTGGAAGGCTAACCACCAAGGCATTCTCTGCTGGGCCAACCAGCGCCTGGAGAAAATACTCGCTGCAGGCAGCCAGCACGGCCCGGTGCCCTCGGAACTCCTTGCCCTCCACCAGGACAGTCACATCACACAGGATATCCTGCTTCCGCTGGTCATTAAGGCAGAGGAGGATATTGGTACAATGAACCGTCGACTCATACACATACATGGGGTCTTCAGTCTTCTCATCCACGGACATGCCGCTCACACCCTACAAATAGAAGCAAAATATTGGTGGAGTCAGCTTACAATCAAGTCCAGTGAGTGCATGCCATGGGACTGACATCAGTAATGGCAGTCTACAGCAGCCAGCTTCATCATTCAGCCTGTTTAATAAAGTACCAATGTGCAAAAGTTGAAACTGAAATGGAAACAGGTTTGTTTGGTATCTGTGAGCTCAATACGTCCATATTTGTGGAATGTGATTCCATATTTACTTCAAGAGATGAGACAGTTCAACTGGTTTCCCTCCAAACATTTCTCTGCTCTCCTCTCCCTGGAAGGAGAGCTCCATCTTTTCTCCAACACACACTAAACACACACTTACACAAACACAACGTCCTCATATGACCTTTATATGAGATCATGTTGGTATCTGTCTGCTCTGAGGGCTTCTGTTTACAAGGTAGAAAATCTTTTGACGGCTACATTTTATGACACAAACCACACTGTGTTTGGGTTTTTTGCTCCTCTGCTTTCCTACTATGTGGTTCTGTGTCAGTTTGAGGACTTCCTCTGAACACAGTCACTAAGGATACCTTAGCGAAGAGCAGGGGAGTATTTTGATTTACTGACTAGGACAATGTGATGATTTACAAAGTTATCTAGTTTATCTCTTTAAGTGGTGCCATCCAGGCATCCCTCCTGACAAGTTGGATTTAATTGAGTTAGTTTGTATATAAAACAAAGACCAAACACTACAATTTGTAGACCTTTTAATAGAAGGAATGACAAAACCAATTTTGTACACAAAAGACCATGTATTTTCATGTCCATGGATAAATTAACACAAGTTCACTTTTCCTCATATTGTTCCCCAAAGTCCATAGGCAGGTAAAAGGTCCTGCACCAAATTTTCTCCACGGCAAGAGAGTTGCTGTGATGTGATGAAAGTCTCTCAGAGGCAGAACCAGGCATCAGTTTTTTCTTTTATTATGAGCAACTTTTGACTCGGTGACGTCACAGGATTCCAGGACTTCTGGTTTAACACGTTGTGAAGCAGCTGGAGCACAGGAGCAGACATATTTTTATTTTATTTGGATTTTTATCAGGCCCACAAAGACTGCAGCCGCCCAGCTATATACAGTGATGTGACAAGCAACAGACAAAGGGTTAAACAGCATCAGATTTAATTCAATCACGGCTGCATGTATGTCGGAATGGTGGTGGCCGTTGTTGCAATCACTCCGTTTGGATGGCATAAAGCATCCATGTCATCCTGTTTGTAAAGATGGCAACAGGAAAGAAACCAGCTTGAACAGCAGACCAATCAGTTGAGTCCTTGGGGAGACTGGGTGTAATTAGTGCAGGTCTTAAAATGAGAGAGGAAAATAATGCAGCCAGCTCAGTGCAACAAGCAGGCTGTCACAGGAACACAAGTGAACTGAATCAGAATGAAGATTTTAACATGAGGTGACTTTGTCCTTTTGGCCTAGTTCTACACAATGTTCAAAATTAGATTTTCCCTGAAGAGCCCTTAGACGTGTGTGTGTGTGTGTGTGTGTGTGTGTGTGTGTGTGTGTGTGTGTGTGTGTGTGTGTTTGCTTTAGTTGGTGTAGCTTTTCAGATAAATGTTGAGGGTTAGATGTGATCACCGAAAGTAACATCATCATTAAGTCTTCTAATTCAAACACCCTACTTCTGGTCGGGAAGAAATTAACGTAAAAAACAAGATGGTAGATAAAGTAAACTTTATATGCATTCCCTGAGTGAGCACATGAGTCATAATCCCCTTTCAGATCATACTTTCAATCTGTGATTTACATGTGTTCTTTATGCCTCAATGATCTGCTAAAAAGAGCTGGTGCAGAACGGAGGTTGAAGTTAATTCATGTCTGACCTATCTCAAAACTGCAACGACCATCTTAAAAGACTAAGACAGGACCGTGTAATGTGTGTGACGTAGTGATATAGTACAAACTTAAGAGATTAGCATTAAGGTGTTGAGACAAACAGAGCACAGAACGCAGTGTCTGTCTAATGCAGTGTTTCTCAATTCCGGTCCTCACCCCCCCTGTCCTGCATGTTTTAAGTGTTTCCCTTCTGCCACACACCTGGATTGAATATTTTGGTGATTAACAGGCTTCTGTAGTACTTGATGGTCATGCAATCATTTGAATCAGCTGTTCTGGAATAGAGGCACATCTAAAACATGCAGAGCAGGGGGGCGTGAGGACAGGAGTTGAGAAGCACTGGTCTAATGTAAGGAATACTTTAGTCAGCAGGACATGATACAGATAAGCACATGTTGAGGATGACTGTTCGTCCATCATGCTAACTAGTTTCTTCATTCATGATAGGCCTGGTTTGGGGAACTAGCTCTAGTGTAGCAGAGAACAAGGGGGATGGTGTGAGCATCATGCACATTAAGATGATTGACAGCGCTAAGATCTTCCTCCCGGCTCTGATAGGTCTTTTCTGACCGAGCTGTGTATTTCTGTAGGCAGAAGGCAGAAGTGCTCCACTGTTTCACAAATTACCTGTCTTATATTATACTGTCACAACACAGGGACAGTTTTAACAAGGATGTAAAAAACATTTTTTTAATGAAAGTTACATACTGCAGCTTAAAGGACTGAATAACTGAAAAAATCTAAGCAATGCTCACTGACTCAAATTTCATATACTCAACAGGAGAAGATGTCCATTTGATAAAGAGGAAATGTATCTGAAATCCTCTTGGTAAAATAACACAGAAAGTTCATCCTTACTGGTGTCTACAAGTAGACCTGTAATTACTATATTTACAATCTGCATTGAGTTTGGTACTTATTTGTAAGTTGTGAACTAATGTTTATTAATACTTCAAGCAAGAAGTCAGAGACTATCTTCCAGCTTGTGAAGACAGAAGGTATCTTTGTTTAAAGAAAATGACAATCAGAATGAAAAACAATGAAAAGCCGTATTCCTTCCCTGTAAAAATGAAACTCTTTCCTGGCTTAAATGACTACCACCAGGCACACAACCCCAGCTGAGACTTTATTTATCTATCCATTTATTACTGAGGGTACCACAACAATTTTGTTACGTTCTGGAAACATAATGACAAATAAAAAATCTTATGTCTTATGTTAAAGGCTCCAATATTATACATTTTATAGTTGTTGTCTGTACCCAGCTATCCCAGTTTTATTATTTCTTAAAGCAGCCAGAAAGGCACTGAGAATATTACATGAGCAATAGGTTAGCATTATAAAAATCTATGGAGCTTTTTTTAATCTTTTCTCACAAAGTTGATGAAACTGAAAGGTGTAAGCATTGATTACTTTTTATTTATTTTAAATAAACACGTCTAGAAACAAGCCCTCCAACAGCTGGGAAACACACCAGCAAACAGCTGAACCTCTGACCCTAAGCTTGAAATACAGTAGCAAAGGAGCAGCCTTGTGAGGTGAGCTTTGGTCCAGTCAGCCATAGGAATAAACACAACTGACAACTCAGCAGAGGAGGGCCCATGTAAATAATCTACTACCCACAGGAAAACAAATTAACAATGATGTCTCACACAAACAGCAGCACACAAACACAGACTGCAGTTAGGGAAGTAAAGCTCTGTGTTAATGTTCAACTCTGACCAACTTGTAGGAATAGTTTAACAGCTAGAGCTCTCCGTTTTAACAACCACATCAGCAACAACTGTGCTCCTGGCTGGCCGACCAAAATATTTCTCTCTGGCTTTCCTGGGATAATGACATTTTCTATCCTGTAGATGTGGTTGTGATGTGTAGAGTTCTCTAAACATGATATTTCTACCATGTTGCCGTGTAGAAAATATTCAATGATGACACAAACTGCACAAGAAGACGTGCACAGGTGTGTACCAACAGACATGTCCAGATATAAACTTCAGAAAATAACAGTTTACATCAAATATCTGACATTCCGGATAGCTTATCCGTTTTTGCAGATTTTGAATTTATTTGACCAGGAGCTGTCAGGCCTCTTCAGGAGATACTGACATTCTCATGCTGAGAAGTGAGAAGACTCAGAGCCGACCACATGGTTTACTGCAGACTGGTCCAGAGCTGTGGACGAAGACTGATATCAGAATCAGAATCAGAATCAGAAGAATTTTATTGTCATTGTCAGAAAGAAAACGAAATTGCAGTTCAAGTACAACCATCCATTACACAACAACATGAGGGGGGGGGATCTAACTTCCTCATCAACACAAACACAGTTTTTGGGCTAACAGATCACTTATATTGCTATCACCCATAACCAGCAAACATTTTCATACACTGTAGCAGAGGACAACCAGGAATTCCTCTCTGTCTGATATTAGATCAAATTGTACTTTCTCTGTTTTAGTTCAGTTAGTATTACCAAAATTTTTCTATTTGATAAATTCCAGAACAATAAGAGATTTTCCATCATTACTTTGTTCATTGTTGTCTGTATTTGCCGCCTTCAAGTATAAACTTGTGTCAAACATTCTGGGTATCCTTCCACAGCGTTCTCACTGTGTTTCAGAAGTGGTGCACAGGGACTGAGAGCAAGACTTTGTGATGACCACTCCTAAACCCTTGGCTGTCCTTAAGCTACTGTGTTGTGAATTTTGTAATGTGCTTTGGGACATTGCTATATTTTTTGGGAACTTTGGGGAGGGGATCTCCAATGAGCTTGACAGCAGGTCTTATATTCTCTAATACATAGCTCTAACTTGTTGTCTCCTTCTGCCTTCCTGTAGTTGTCATTTTAGCTGCTTTCTCTTGTCCCTCTGCCTGTTTGGTTTAGTCTCTTCTATATAATAACACCGGGAAGCATAAGAGACTATTCAGGACGAAATGCTACTATTAATGAGATTAACTAATCTGCTACCCTATTTGTCGTCATTGCTGCATCTGTGGCTCTCGTCTTTTGGTTCATTCTCCTCCTTTTTGGTTGCATCTCTTTCAACAAAGTAACCACTTTCTTGAGGCAAATTCTTTAATAGTTAATTTATTCACATGACCTCTGTCTTTGCTGAGCTGGCATCAGACATAATCTAAACGAGTCTCATTGCTATAATT